CATGCATCTCTTGAATTTTATGCCTAATGATTGAACTTGATAGTTGCTTTTTTTCCGTGAATGCTCTGTTGTTATGCTCTAACCATAGGTAATATAGTGAATTAGTCATTGCCAATTTATCTACAAGTGTGTTGTTATCTTTATCCTTCATATAGTTGACTGTCCAAAACCCATTTCATTGTGCCTCTGGCAAAGTTAATAATTTACTCCACACTTCTATAGTATAAGAGCATTGAAAGAATATGTAGTTTCGATCCTCATTCATCTGTTGATATAAGAAGCATATAAAGGATTGTATATCTGTATCACATTCTATATATTTAGCCAATCTATTTTTAAGCGCAACCTTTCCATTTATTTCTAGGTACAAAATGAAAAATATCTCATACTACCAAGGAATATATATATATATATATATATATATATATGTATATATATATATATATATATATCTATATATATTTTATATTTTTTGAACTAGCTTTCCCCTTTTATGAAAAGTTGTAACTTTTGTGAAGAGCTGCGACTTTAATGAAGACTTGTGACTTTTATGAAAAGTTGTAACTTATTTTATGAAGAGTTACGACTTTTATGAAAAGTTGTGACTTTAATGAAGAGTTGGAACTTTCGTGAAAAGTTGTGACTGTGAGTTTTATAAAAGGTTATGACATTTTGAAGGGTTGCAATTTTTTCAAATATGTTTAACCTTTTCGATAAGGCACAATACACTGTGCACGACCCTTTTTTGTCTATAAATGGAGTGATTTTCTTTCATTTTAAAACAACGAAAATTTTAAACCTCCTCTTCTTCTTCATCACAACTAAATATTTGTGTATTTTGTTCATGTTGAGTGGCTCACTGATTCCATTGCTTATGTTAAAGTTCTTGGTGTATATTTTTGCAGTCATTAATTTATGCTTATGTTATTAAGGATAAATGATAAGATGTAATGAATTTCATTTTTCTTTACATTATTAATTTTTGCTATCACATAATATTGTATGTACGAGCATATAGAGTTTTAGTTTTAATGACTGATAAGTTTAAAATATTATGTTATAAGTTCTGCTATATTAAATTTTTGCTTTATAAAAGAGAACCTTAGGCCCGCCTATGTGGCGCCATCACAAACCAGGATTCTCTTTTAACTTATTTATTTACAAAATTAGCTTTCTATTGTGACTTTAACGAAAAGTTATGACTTTTACGAAAAGTTGAGACTTTAACGAAAAGTTACAACTTTTATGAAGAGTTGCAACATAAATAAAGAGTTGCGACTTTTATGAAGCGTTGCAACTTTAATGATGAGTTGTGACTTTTAAGAAAAGTTGCAATTTTAATGAAAAATAGTGACTTTTATGAAAGATTGTGACTTGTCCAAAGAGTTGTGACATTTCCGATAAGGCACAATAAACATTTATTCACACTATCCTTTGTAGTCTATATATAGAGGGATTTCCTCTAATTTTAAAACAACGAAAATTCTGAACTTTTTTTCTGCACAATTAAATATTGTTGTACTTTTCTCCTGTTCAGTGACTCACTGACACCATTGTGTTTGTATCAACACACTGGTGAATAGAATCGTTTTGTTCTGAGGATCTATTCCTTTAAACCTTGGGTACTAGAATGAAATAATTTTCTTAAGAGGACAATGTGCATCAGTGGGCTCGATTTGTTATTCATTTTATTATTCCAGATCCTTGTATGTTTTTTATAGTCATTAATTTGTGTTTATTTACATGTTTTAAACTTTGTTGTATATATTTATACTTTTGATCATTATGTTAAAGTAAATATATGTTAATCAAGAGTTTGAAGTAATCATTAGACTATTGGTGTCATGTAGATTAGAATTCTTAAACTTGTAAAATAAATTACTTTCATCTTTATAGAGTTTTAGTGGCTAAAAGATCCATGGGGATGTCTAAGAAGGGACTTTGAGTGTTCAAAAGTTATGGTGGTTCCACACTACCTTGGTATTTTATTTATTTAACTTTCGATCTTATAGAGGCATCAATCGATTAGTGACATCCAAAAAATAAAGGGATGTAGTGGGATGATAAGATAGTACTCAACCTTAATCATTGGAGGTTCAAGTGTTAGGTTTGAATCAATGAACTACTCCTTAAAGTAGGATTAATCTATATCAATCAAATGTTAAAGAAATAATTATCTTCTTATATATTTAAGAATGAAAGTTCTAAAAAAATAAAGTTTTAACTATATTGATCGAAACATAAACAACAAAATATGTCTTTTGCTATCAAAGTAGTGTTATCGGTTGCGTATGATTTTGAATAAGGGACATGTCAAGACATCATTTAATCTAAATCATTTGAGCAACATACTTTATTTCATTGAACTTGAAGAGTTGTGTTTTTATATTTTAATTAACTTATCAAGTAAACAACTAATTATATAATATGTATAATATTTAGATTTTGTATGTAGAGGCCTTGAATTGGAGAAAAACTTTCACAATTGTGTGTAAAATGCTTGCACCGCTTTATGAAAATACAAATATAGACGGTGAAATAATTACATATCTTTTTTAAAGATTTTGGTGATGAACAACTACAGTAAAATGAAGAATTAATAACAAAATTCATAAAGACTTAGAATCAAAACTTATTCGTTTTAAGATTAAAAAAAAACAATTCTTTTTTTTTGATAAAATATTCTTGACAATTTATCGTAGGGTTGTACCCTCTCGAAAATAATTATATTACTAAATGTTCGGAAGTAGATTATTGACGTAATTCATCATCACGTGAACCGCAGATAATTTACATAGTATTAAATATATATGCTTAGAACAAATGATGCAAGATCTATAATGCGAAAGCAATTACACTGATATTGCCCTGCATATTAAGAAGTAATGATCACTTTTATGGGATTAGCATATGCAGATATCTTATTGTCATGGACATAATGAAATAGGAGAAATATTAATTATGGTAAAACTCTTTAGTTAATCAAATAAATTTGAGCCATTAAATTATTTGTATGACACATATTAATATATTTAAAGGGTAATGGAGAAACTGGAGAGATTATGTGCAGGAGAAGAGTCTTCTTCCATATTTTGATGGGGCAATTCAATCTGAACACCAGAAAAGAAATGTGGCAAACTAATTGAGTAAATATCTCAAAACTGTCACTCAATTTTAAAAAAAGTTACATTGTTTAAGTTATTTAGTTTTATTTTGTATCAATAAAATCACTTTGAGTATTTCTTTTTATAAAATCAATTAGTCAAATTTACCATAAAAAGCAATTTAAGTACATTTTACCAGAAATATTTTAAAACTTTGAATCAAACAATTTAATCTTTATATTAATAAAAAAAGTTTAGACATCAAGGTAATATATTACAAACACATGACTACCATCTTATTAACCGGAATTAATACTTAATTTAATAATTAACAATATCATTATGTGAAATTAATAAATATAAACGTAAAAAATAATAATCCAAATTTAGATTAAAGAACATGAAGTTGGGGACGAAGACGACAAAGATAATAGAGTAGTTTTTTCTAAAACTAAAAGTTCCAACACACTTGCTCATTTTGATACTCGAAATCAAACGATTAACAAATGTACTCTCTAAACATAGAGTGTTAATATGTTTTCTCGAAGATAGTGTGACATATGCCACATTCATAACCATTCTATTGTTATTATATTGAATTAAATATTCAGATAATCAAAAGTACCATCATTATGTTGCTAGATTTTATTCAGAAATTCGAAAGTTACATGTTACAACAAACAATATACAAATCTAGTAGGGGTGAAATGAATAATGAAATAATCAAAGCATTCTAGTACAGGCGGAGTAGCCGTCATATGTACTCTTTTAATTAGTCATTTTATCACGTTATCGCGGAAGTATATTGTACCTTTTAAAGTTTTGTTGATCGTAATTTTTTCTAAAAAAATGTCTGATATAAATAATTTTTAAATTTTAAAAGCATTCCATAGATATAAGATCGAATTAAAATGCCTAAGTGAAATATGTGGACATACAATTTATTCAAATCAAATTATTTACAATTTAGAAAATAAATCGACAAAATAAGAAATTTTATGATAATGTTGCTTATAAATATTTTTGTGTTTAGATTATGTTATCGTCTTACTTTTGACTAAGTTATATTATACTTGTGATGTAATGGTATGAACAAGGCTAGACCGCAAATCAATTCGGCCCATTGAAGTGTGGCCCTACCAGGTTGGGGTCGGGTTAATACTTTAATGAGTAAAGCCATAGTTTAGTAGATTGGATTAAGGGGCGGGTTGGGCGGGAGAAATGGGTGTTCGGCCCAACCCTCAACCCATTAAGAAAAGGTAAAATTATTTGGGTGAATATTTTTTAATAAGTAGTTATTGTTCTTAGTGGTATATTTTATTTATTATCTTTTATATCAATACTATAATAAATATGTATCATGTAAAAAGTGAATTATGCATGTATTATTAGTGTTTTATGTTTGTTTGATAAAAAAATAATACAATATATTGCAAGTGTTTTGAAATATGTGATAAATATATTATTCATTAATTAAATTTGTATTATGTGTGATATGTATTATAAACTATATCCTATAATATATATTAACATTGTATCTAAGATTTCTTTGGTCACAAATATATTTGGGAAAACTTGAGAAAAAATTGGGAACTAGTGTTCGGCCATAAAATTTGTTATTACTTGACAAACATTCCAAAGTTCTTTGGAATTTTTTTAAAAATTTCAAACTTTTATATTTTATAAAACACCGTATATGATTTATATTTTTGGACTAGATTTCATTTCTAGTTTATTAATATTATAAAATGAAAAGATAAAATCAATTTATGAATATTTTAATAAATTTTAGAACTTGTAAAATGTAAATATAAATTATATATATATTTTAAAAAAAGTCAAATATCTTTTACAAAAATTTATAGTCAAACACCCAAAAGAAAATATTTGGCAAGTATTTTCGTTTGGCATATGCATTAGAAATTTTCAGATATTTCGTGTGTGGGAACTGCAAAAGAGAGTTGAGAACAAGGAGATGATTTAGTTAGGGTTTAGCAAATGGATTCTACATCAAATCCAGACACCCATGAATCATGTATGCAATATCTACTGTTTCCTCAAATGAATTTGCACTGCAGGCAGAAAAGTGGCTATCAAGATCCGGATGATGGGCGCCAACGTTTCTTACTGGAACTTGAAATTCGTTCATGCCTCGTTAACCCAACTTATATTCCACTGTATCTATCTATTCCCTTCTGCTATTTAAACATGATAATTTCTGGGTATTTCTCAAAAGGACCGATTATTGTTAGTTTTATGTTATATATGTTGTTGGATGGTTCATTCTTCTTTATTATGTTTCAAGTGTGTGATGTGTTTCAATAGGACACAAGTCAAATTTGGGTGCAAAATCTTCAATTTTCCTATTCCTTTGTGATTTATTTTTTGTGCTTGACTTTGTATTGATGCTGATTTGGCTTAGAATAGATATTTTGAAGGTTAAAATTTTATTGGGTACTTTAAATACCTTCAATACTGGCAATGAGTTGAGTACATAAAGTTTATTACGTAACTTTTTAGATGTAGTTGGATTTTATGCTTTATTTGGTTAATGGTCCCTGTTCCTTCTCTGTTTGCTGTTGACTATAGGTAACTAACTGTTTTTGTCTTCCCTTTTTGATGTCAACACAGGTATCCACACTGCCTGTTCTTTCTTGAGCTTCTCCAAAATCCATCATTTCTTAATGCAATTGCACCAAGTTCTGTTCCTCCTGCATCACTACCATCAAGTGTAGCCCCTGCAGCCTCTCCAACTCCTGCTCCTACACCTGTTACAGCTGCAGCTCTTTTCCGATGAAGTATGCCATCCCTCCTGGATTTGGTCTTGCTAAAACTGACCTAAGGAATGCTTCTGTTGATCAAAGAAAGAGAAAGTATTCTCTCGTCTTTTACTTTTCTCTAACTGTGAAAACGTTGTCTAAGCTTGTTGCTGCATGCTCCCTCTTGTTATGTTTTCGTATTTCAGGGTTAGATATATTAACTTGATCTTTCTAATTAAGTTAATGACTTGGTGAAAATTTGGTTTTAGCAGGAAAGACGGATTCTTTTACTCATAACACAGACATCCAACCAATAGATTCATGAATTAAGGTAATACATTTTGCACCCCATGATTTCATTTTCAGAATTAGTGTTGCAGTTCCCTATTTGGCAAATGCATTTTTGAAGTCATATTATGAGTGATTTTTTTTATCGAATTTTAGAGTGCTGCCCAAGTCTCAAGCACTATCAATGACCTGTAATTTCTTTCTTATGCCAGAAAATATAGTGCTTAAGTTTTGTGAGAGTTCAACCACACATTTTTGTTAGGTTCTCTGGGATCAAATTTATAGTAAATTTTTTTTGTTTTCCTGAAACCAAGTAACCAAAACATGAAGGATGCAGCCTACTTGTCACCTCTTCTAGGGTTATCAATGGAGTGAAGAAGTTATTCCAATCACCATATTAACTTGTGAACTTTAAATTTTGATGAAAAATGAAGGATTAGCTTCTCCAATGTGTACAGGGTTTAGGAATATTTGCCTATCATCTATGGTAAATGGGTGGAGTGTTTTCCACCACGACCAAACATTTAGTGTCATGATGCCGCTCAGATCTTATGATTATTTTTTCACTCTATCAATGGTACATGACCTAAGTTGGAACCTAGTTGTTTTTATCTAACATGTATTGTCATTCTTGTTGCAAAGTCGAATCTTTAGAGTGTGATGAATCACAACTGCTATATTGGAAGGCAGCTAATAAATAGTTAATGAGACCATAATAAAAATGCAAAAAAATTAACGAGGTTCTCAAAGTTTTTTTTTTTGCCTAGTAATTAACCAAAATTTATTTGAGTCCATAAGAATACAAGTGAAATACTATAAGGGAGAAAGATGACTCAAATGCCTTAAAAAATGAGAAGGCAAGTGAGAAATGTGTCACAAATGAACAACTAACTACATGTTTATAGGAAATGAATTCTTCCTCTTAATGTCATCAATGATATCACTAGAATGCAAATGTCAAGATTAATGGTTTTCCAAAATTTCTACTACAAGTTTAATACCTTGACATTTTGTGCCAATGAAAAATTATCTTCCTTCCAAATATTCACACTAGTTCATATAAAATTTTGTCAAATTTAACAAATTGGTACCAGAGTAACCACACAGCACACACAGATACAACTCTGATACCAATTGTAAGCTAATAAATAGTATTTATAGTAGAAATGGAAGACAAGATAATGATGAGTCCATGTCGGGTGTCAGTAATACGTCATCATTGACATCTTTTCTTATGACACGAGTTTTGTCAAATGTGAAATTTGCAGTTAAATTTTTTTGTTGGATTTATCTTTCTTTTAGTTGGATTTGTTGAATGCAACAGAAAAATTGATTTGATTATGCATGTTATTCTGGAATTCTCCCTAGGAACCTATGAGAGAATCAATTATGGGCAGAAACTTTTTGGTTCTGATAATGTGATCACCATAATTTAGAAGCTCAATATGGGTGTTGATTAATTTTATTCCCAAACCTCAAGGTGTTAACCAGCTTCTAATGCTATTAAAGAGAGGCATATCAATGACTCCATCAGGAGAAAGCTCTGTAGTTGCAAAAATATGTCCAGTATAAAAGAATATAATTATTGCTTGAAACGTGAAAAGAGCAAACAAAGGACATTGTACAACAACAGCTTTCTGTTATCCCAAATGGCATGTGTCTGTTTCACCTTCAAAAGTCTTTTCAACCTGAACATCTGGCTAAATGCTGCTGGAAGGATCATTTTAGGTTACCTTTTCTTGGTCTTTTCATTAGTCAAGTGATATATGTGCTTAGATCTTCACAAAAAAGAGTTACATGGTTGGAGAAGTGTGTTTCTACTTCCTAATGCTACTATATTAAGTATTTTCCTAATCAATCTATAAGATGTACTAAGATTATTTTCTTTGGTTTAGGGCCATCTAGTTCCTGGTTTAGCATTGGAAGGACTTTAAATTTTTTTCTTCTTTTTGTAGATATGGTTTTCCAGTACTTAGGAGTACTGACTGAAATACAATGTTACCAGTGTAAGAAATGATTATTTTGCTTTGGTTCCATCATTTTAGATCTCTAGAATTTCTTATAGAAACAAATGAAAAGAGTGGCTTTCCTCATTAATGCTTGATCTTCTTTCCTAATTGAGAATAAATTCCACGTAGCTTCAGATTAGTCTCTCTTTCTATTGCAAGTTTAGAGTGTTTCTAGACGTTCTTTTACACAATTTCCAGGAGTCTGAGGGGTTGTATCTATGATTGAGTTTTTCAAATCTTTCTTGTCATGAAGTTTGTTTTAGTTGTTTCTTACTACGAAACTCAGAGTTCTTTTCTTCTCAAACTTGGGATTATCTAAATGAGATACGGGATACCATTAGACGAATGCCGAAACTGCAATTTTTGTTGTTTGGGACTCATGATTCCTGACTAGGTAGATCTAGTTAGCACCATCATTGCTATGAAATTTTTACAATAACTAGTTTCAGATTTTCTCCTGCATTTCAATGGAGGGACTATTTTTTCTTGCATTTGTTGAAAAATTGTCATTTGTGTACAGAAATTCCATTTCTCCGGTATTATTTGGCTAATGTGAAATACATTAGTGTGAATCTCTTTACATAAATGCCTAGTTTATCTTCCGGTACATAAGTTATCTATTTGAATTAATAAGTGTTTATTGCAATTTTCTGGTGTGTCCTTGATATTCTTTGGAGCTTTCATACCTAATTAATTTCGATGTGTCTCCTTTCTATTGCTAAATGGATTTGACCACTTGTCTTCTTCGGAGAAGTTAGATTTTTTTTCTAAAAGGTTCCGCCGTTACATCTTCATTTCTGTCCCCTATTTAAATTAGATTTTCTTCTGGGTTAAGCTAAATCTTCTTCTCTAGGTTGGCTTTCTTCATCTGTTCCTCCAATCACCATTAAGACAAGGTATCTTGAAGGAAGATGACTGGAGAAGTTCGCTGCTTTGAACCTAGGCGATCTTTGTGGCCGATTCCAGCACCTAAGAGTGAGCTTTTTTTCTTTCCCTTTTTGCGCTCTGTCCTTTTAATCTCAGATATATGTAGAAGAAGAAATCTATTTCTAGGTGACAATGGTTGTTTGTTTGTTCCTCTTTCTTTGATTATTGGTTTCTCTTCCTCCTTTTTAATGTCTGCTAGCTATATCCATCCTGTAATCGAGATGATTGTCTAGATGTCATCCACTTTTAGAAATTCCTTTAGTTACTAATTTTTTCTTGGACACACTGTAGCTTGTCATTTTCTCCGGTTTCTTTTTACCTTTCTACTTTTTTGTGTTTGCTATGTCCTTCCTGTAATCATAATGATTTTCTAGATCTACAAAATCCTTGTATGATAATACTTTTAGGTACTTATTTCTTGTTGGACAGACTAGCTTGTCATTTAACTTGTCAAAGGAAAAAAAAACTATTATTTGGCCCATGAATTTGGTTATAGTTAATTACTCATCTGTTTCTTGTAGATAAAATGTGATTCTGGTCGAGTGTAAATGTGAAATTGGCTAAAAATCAATTGGGTTCTCGAAAAAACTGAATTAGACCAAATGGTGGTTGACAATAAGTGACACATTTGGCTTGCATTAGCTGTCCATTAAAATTAGGAAAATGGGGAAAAGGAGGACCCTTTTATTATAACTAATGATATTAATTTGTCACTAGTTTCATGATGATTATATGAGAAATTCAATATTATTGGAAGTCAGTATTTTGTTGCTTTACGTGACGAGTACTGTTAGGCAATGGGTTATCCCCTCAAGGGTGAAGCATTGTTTCTATCTATAGAGGCATAGAGTGATCGCAGCAAGAAGCCGTTGAGTCTTTGAATCTGACTATAGGAAGAAAAGAATAACAAAGATAATTAAACTAGTCTGTTGCTACGCTCTTAAGATTTTTCATTGTTTTCTTCTTCTCGAGGTATAATATCTGCTCTACCGTTGTGATGGATTTAAAAATAACATTTACTCTTTCATCACAGCAGTAGAGCAGGTGTTAAACCTTGAGAAGAAGAAAACGATGAAAAATCTTAAGAGCGTAGTAGCATACTAGTTTCCTTATATTTGTCTATTCTTTTCCATAGTCAGACTCAACTGCTTCTAGTTGTGATCACTCTGTGCCTCTATATATAGAAACAATGTTTCACCCACGAGGGATAACCCATTGCCTACAGGTACTCGTCACATTAAGCAACAAAATATTGACTTCCAATAATACTGAATTTCTCATATACACAGCCTTACCCCTTTCTAACCTCAAGAGAGGGGTAGGGCTGCGTTCACACCACTCTCCCCGGACTACACTAGGTATGTGTGTGTGTATATATATAATATAAAGAGAGAGAAGGAAACACAAGTTAATGGTAGCTTTTTAATAACGTGAGTGAAACTTTAGGGTGCTTCAGAAGGTCTCTCAATTATCTGACACTTAGAAGAGGAGTGAATGCGTTTAAGTTATCTTAGGTTTTGGACTTCTGTTTTTTAATAGAGTGTCTTTCTTTGTGTGTGTGAGGAATCTTTTCCTTTGATAGCAAACCCCATCCTCCCAGAAAACAAGGGAAATCCAAACAATCTTATGTGATTTCTTGTCTTAAATGTAAGCAAGGTGATAGACCGCTTATGGGGTATTTGGTTGTTCATAATTGTGCTTATGTGCAGATCCAACTGCTTCTTCTACTCAGGATGAAAAGGAGGAGGTGGATTCGCGATCCATATATGTCGGTAATGTGAGATTTGTCGCCTTTACCTCAACATGTTAATTTGTTTTTCCCTACGTGACATGTTTCTACTAATTGCATCATCCTGCTCTTCATAAGACTTGTATTGTGTTAATCACTGACAGGAATTAATTTATCATTCAGCCTTATCTGTTTATTTGCTTTCACATTTTAATCCAATGTAACTGCAGATTGCTTTATTGCTCAAAAATTTGTTGCCTGTAGTTTTTCCCCCCTTCTATTTTATATTATTTTTTATTCTTCAACACTGTAGACGCAACTTTAACATGAACTCACCTAGAAAGCAATAATAGTGTTCAACTTTCTAGAACAAAACTTATTTTGCGTATCAGTTGTCTAATTGCTGTACTTTTAGATTATTATTTTTTCATTATGGACCCAGAAAATTGGTTCGTTGCTTTTTTACTGTTGTTTTCTGTTTTACTTTCTCAGCTTTGCTCTTGTAGCCTTAGCTTGCAATTGGTTGTGTGCAGAAGAATGTATACTTGGGATAAGTTTGTTCAGAAATACATGACAGGATAGGGAAGCTTCGTAGGTTGCTCGGTCTGGATGTTCCATTTATGGGATTAGTTGCTGCATTTTGCCACTAGGTTGAGTAGCTGTATTGATAGAAGCTAACCTCACATTAAATCACGAACTAGCAAAATAACAAGATATTGTTCCTTGCACGTATTACCAAAGTAACACCATATTGTATTAGTAAAAGACATTTAAGGCACCCCTCATTGTTAGTCTTTGGATGTGGTTTGATATTTGTAACACTATCTGAAATGAGGCCAGCCGAAGACCCCCATCCCACAAAAAAAATGCTGACCCATCTCTTGTGAAAATGCTTAGCGTAACTGTCATTTGAATTGTTTTTTTGTTTTGTGTTATTTTTTTGCATTTCAACTTCAGGTTGATTATGCTTGCAAGCCTGGGGAAGTGCAGCAGCACTTTCAAGTGTGTGGCACTGTTAACAGGGTAACTATCCTGACTGACAAGCTTGGCCGGCCAAAAGGCTTTGCGTATGTGGAGTTCTTTGAAAGGGAGTCTGTTAAGAATGCACTTCTGCTGAACGAATCAGAGCTTCTCGGGCGGAAGTTGAAGGTCCATAACAATCATCTTGATGATTTACCGACTCTGTTTCACCTTCTAGACCTTCTACTACTATGTTCTTTTGTTATGTATAGGTATCTGCCAAGCGGACAAATGTTCCTGGTATGAATCAATTTCGAGGAGGGCGATTTAATCCTTATGCTGGATTCCGTCCTCGACGTGCGTTTGTGCCTGGTGCTCCAGTCATTCCACCTTTTGGGTAATTAACAATGACGCTATCCTCTGCAGAACCTTATTTTGGTGATATATATATACATATATATATATATAATAGATATAGATATTTTCTTTTACAACACATTTTGATAGATACTTTTAGCTTTTTCCTCAAATATAAAACCACCAGCCCTACTCGTAACATATTGTCGAAACTTCCTTGACCTTTTTTCATGATTTTGTAGCTCATCTAGCATCTAGGGTGGCAAGTTGTACTATGAACTGCTTATTCTGAAAAGGTATGGAGGTGCTTAAAAGGTATATCAAGATATGAGCAGTTCATAGTACAACTTGCCACCCTAGATGCTCGATGAGCTACAAAAAATTATGAAAAAAGGTCAAGGACTTTCCGACAGTATGTGACTAGTAGGGTCAGTGGTTTTGTATTTGGGGAAAAGGCTAAAAATGTGTTGCAAAAGAAAAGTAAAAGGCTTACAACTTTGTCTCTGTCAATCATGATCTATTTTTGAAGTACAACCTCCCCTTCTCTACCCCAACCCAAAAAGAAGAGGTATCAAATTGTTTACTTGTCGAAAACAAAGTGGGTTTTTGCTTGACCATTCTTTTGGGGCTAGACATCTTTGTCTGATCTCTAGTATCACTGTATCAGGAGCAAAGAGGTTCTGGGGAAAAATAGCTCAGAGTAGTTTCCGGCCTACCAATAATATTATCCTGGCCTTTGTTACTTCAACAAACATTGGGCTAAAGCTTAGGTTATCCCCCCCTTACTCTTCGAATTTCATTCAAGTACCAGTATTTTTTTTTTAATTAAGTTAAAGTTGTATTCTTCAGCATTAAGGGTATGCTGGCTACCTCCAAAAAATTACAAGCTAAAACCATAATTACATTGATCCTAGGAAATCTACCAACTGTTCTGCTACTTCTATACCCTCTTCTTTACACCAAAAAAACATGTTAATGCAATTTTCTTTAACTTTCTGCATAGTGTTAGTAATATTCTCATGACACCTAAGATTTCTTTCTCTCCAAATAGCCCACCAGACACAAGCTGGTACTATAGACCACCATTTTTTTTGTGTTCTGGCATCACCCAAGGCTCTTGAGAAATGCTGTAGATCATGCTCCACTTTAAGTACCAGTATTTTGTTAGTTGCAACTTCATATATTTATCTATCACTCCATTTCTGAAGGAAGTCTAGTTGAATATTGATTGGTTCCCAACTTGGATACCGCCTACTCTGATCCCTTATGGGATCTGCACTTTCCTCATAATCTGCTTCAATGCATGTTTGTTTGACCTACACTGTTGCCCCTGCCTAGCAGTAGTTCAGAGCTTCCTGCCTTCCTAATAAATGGAATCTTGCGTTGTCTTTGGTTGGCTGGGTTTCTAGGCTTACTTCCTCTAAACGAAGTAGAATGTTGGGTTTCTCGTAAAGCCAGAGCATGTGCCATGGTAATTGTGTTGATCTGAAATGGTAACTTTTGTGTTTAATGTTCTTTCGAAGGGGTTACTTCTTTCTGTTACTATTTTGATTGAATATGACCTAAAGTCCTACACTTCTGGATTAGCAGCTCATCTACTTGAACTTGTCTATTTTCAAGTTCATCAGTGTGCTTCAGAAGATGAACCTATAGTCAAGTCTTATTGATGGAAGGGTCTAGTCAGCACTTCACTGAAATATGTTTAATCTATTTTACACATTCACAGTTACATATACCTATCTAAAAGGCATCACGGGACTTTTTTTAAGACGTTGCATCACAGCACTTGCAATGCATTCCGCGGACCCTTTTTGTACTGGAAGTACGTGCCAAAATCAGCTGTTTTTTTATTGTAACACTAATGCAAATGTTGGCAACAATGCTCCCTGTACTACTACCAGTTAAGTAATACAAAGTAAACCTTCAGAACTCCAAAATTAGGTGTTGCATCACTAAACTGTTATATGAGAATAATATAAAACTTACTTGTAGGGTATTTTGTTGTAGTAACACATGTCAACTTATATTGGTCCAACATAAGTTTATCATAAGATTTGTTTAGTTGAATTTATTTCCTATTATCCCATACGTATTGCTGATAGGCTGGTACTACTCTTTTTAATATCAAAGAGAACTGAAATTGGTTTGAATGCTTTATGCCCTTCAAAACAGAGAGCTGAACTTCCCTAGATTTTAATGGAAGAGTAAATTTTCAGATATTTGCCACATATTCTACTTCAACACATGTTTGTTTGGCCTACACTGTTGCCCCTACATGAGCAGTAGTTCAGTGCTTCCTGCCTCCCAAATAAAATGGAATCTTGTGTTGTCTTTGGTTGGCTAGGTTTCTAGGCTTACACTTCCTTTAAACGAAGTAGGATTTTGGGTTTCTCGTAAAGCCAGAGCATGTGTCATGGTAATTGTGTTGATCTGAAATGGTAACTATTGTGTTTAATGTTCTTTCGAAGGGGTTACTTCTTTCTGTTGGTATTTTGACTAAATATGTCCTAAGCTTCTGGATTAGCAGCTCAGCTACTTGAACTAGTCTATTTTCAAGTTTATCAGTGTGCTACGGAAGATGAGCCTAGAGTCTCGTCTTATGATGGAAGGGTCTAGTCAGCAGTTCACTGAAATAAACTAGATGACTCCTATGTCTAATCTATTTTACACAATCACAGTTACCTATACCTATCTAAAATGCATCACTTGACTTTTTTTTAAGACGTTGCATCACAACACTAGCAATGCATTCCGCGGCCGACTTTTTGTACTAGTCGTATGTGCCAAAATCAGCTGTTTTGTTTTTGCAACACTAATGCAAATGTTGGCAACAATGCTCCCTGTACTACTACCAGTTAAGTAATACAAATTAAACCTTCAGAACTCCAAAAATAGGTGTTGTATCACTTAACTGTTAAATGAGGATAATTTAAAACTTACTTGTTGGGTATTTTGTTGCAGTAACACATGTCAACTTATATTGGTCCAACATAAGTTTTTTATAAGATTTGTTGAGTTGGATTTATTTCCTATTATCCTAACGAGTTCCCGATAGGCTGGTACTAATCGTTTTAATATCAAAGTGAACTTAAATTGGTGGGAATGCTTTTTATGCCCTTCAACAGAGAGCTGAACTTCCCTAGATTTAATGGAAGAATAAATTTTCAGATATTTGTTCATCTGGATTACAGTGTTCCTTCCTAAGTTGTCCTCCTTGACTCTTCACTTTTATAAGCTATAACTTAACAGTTGTGCAAATTTTACTCTCTTGTTTGATGTTCACTTTCGTTGTCATGTTTTGTCTTGACATAATTCAAGCTGATGCCTGCTTGATGATTACATCAAACTTTAGTTAACAAGTATTGTGTTGTCATCTTGTTTGCAGAAGGGTTCCAAGGTTCAGACGGTCCATCCGCTACAGGCCATACTAGTGAATTTTAAGCTGGATTGCAGCCTTCCCTAGAGAAGCATGGAGCTCGCTTTGTGAAAAGGGCATCTCCTTGTTTTACTCTCTTTGGTTGAGGGCAAAGGATGTTCTAATTCAAATAAGTCATTAGCTGACATAAATTTCAACTCTGTGGATGATGTTTTAGGTTCTGGGGATTGAGAATTTTTTTCTTTGCTAGCTTGCTCAGATGCTTGCATTTTGGGCAGCAAATGGAAAAGACAAATAAAATAGACAGTTTGTTGATAGATGGTTTGAATTATGTATGGTTGTGGTTTGGTCACTCTTAAGCTCCCCTCTCCTGAACCTCCTTATCCCCAACTTCAAATCCTAATAGCTACATGCAATAAGACCAATGGTGTTTAATTTTCTTAAAGAACTATTTATTACTCCATGTTAGGGTAGATACAAAATGCTTTGGTATAGACAGAGATGAAGATTTTGTAGTGTATGGTAAAAAGCGTCTTGTTAATAGGAAAAAGCATGAACATACCAATTGAAGTAGTCCAAGTTGGTAATTGCATAAAAGGGGAAAGAAATCTAAAGCTTTAGAAAACTTCATAAAACACTTCATATAATTTTATCTCTCTTCTGCAGAATATCAATAGTTGATCTCTAAAGCCTAGTGGCAATATCCTTTAATTCTTGTCAAATACTACATTGCTAACATAAATAGATAAGTGGGACATTGAATCACCTAGTCTTACCCCTCTACTTGCTTTAAATTAGTGTTGTACCTGAATAAATATTTGATTAATGGTAACATATTACATTATTCAGTTGATGACTTTAGTTGTCATTTTGAGTTCCATAATATCAACTCTATGAACGTCCATTTCAGAGAATCATATGTTTTCTCCATAACAATTTTCATCATACATCTTTTAGAAATTTTATGTCTCTCATAACCCTTTTACAATTTTATGACTCAATATAATATTGCCATTCAAAAAAATTCCCAGTACAAATGTTGATTGGTTAGGATCCACTACTCTCCATGATCACTTTAGATATAATTTTGTATATTGCTGAGCAGCATGAAATTGACATGCACCTATGGTTGAATTTTTCACCTCAGGACTCAAGTATGAATGTTACTGCAGTGTAATAGATAGGTTGGCCTATCTCAAAGAAGTTTAGAAAAAACATTTAAGTCATTTTTGTGGAGTTTTTAGATTACTAATGTCATGTAGAGTTATTTCCATTTCTATCTTTTCTATTGGAGCTGTTGACTGAAGTTGATGAGATTTAGCATTTCTTCCCTCCTCGTTATATTGGTATCTACATTTGGTAAACAAGTAACAACATGTCCAAATAGAAATTCAATGCATATCTTTCCCTGATAGAAATTCAGTGCCTTGTAAATATCTTCATGAGTAATACCTGCAACAGCATTCTATATTCCACGCGAGCAAAGAAGTATCCTATATTAGCATCACCTAGGTCCAACCGTTGCTTCATAGAGTGTTGCCTCATAAAACTTTTCTCAGTCGAACTCGATTTCTTCTCAATTTGTTTCTTTTCTTGCTATTAACATACCTCATACTATGGTCTTTTCTACTTGATAAACTTGTCATTTGGTGTGCTGGATCTTGTTCTTCACCTCTTTAAATTTAGTATTATTCAACTTTTTAAGTGCAGTTTTCTCACCTTTTTGAAATTGCACCAGACTGACATCTTTTATGTTCTTGCTAAACTTTGATTAACTAGTTGAAGAGTAATCTGTAATGCAATTAAAAAACCAAAATACTTGTAAGCATTCTAAATTAACTTGGAGGGGCATGATCACACATTTTTGCTATTAAGATATTTACCTACATAACTAACATATGAACCATTCTTTCTAATCCTGATAAAAGATACATGTGTGTTCATTCTCCAAGTGTATGAACCCCCCAACTATTTTCATATCATTCATCCCAACATATCTAACAAAAATTTATTAAAATTTTGGACTCGTATATTTTGTTACGGGCTGCTTTCAGTCTATCCTTTATCTTTACTATTGCATTATAATACCCCATACACATTATTATTATTAACAACCAAGTCCTCGAATTCTTTTAGAGTTTTAGTATGTAACTCATACATCACATTAAAATATAAATTCTAGCGAACTACAATTATGTGTTACTTTAAATTATATACTGATCACACTTATTCTCCACAACACACTCTACATACTAAAGATCCCGCAATACTCAAATCCTACCTTGCAATCGAAGACATAGTTCTCCTACTACCATATTTAAATTTAGAGATATTATCGAATTTTCAACTACACACTTATTCTTTATAGAGGTCTTATCACTCCCCTGAACTTTTTAAAACTAAAATATCTAGTGCCCTATAAATTCACGCCCAGATTTGTATTAGGCAGTGGTCTACACGCGCTGCCATGTAATATTTACTCTTTTTTTGTAAAACAAATTAATTATTCTTTTATATTTATTTTTTTTGCTTTTTATATTCATCTTATCCTTTACTCTTTCTTTTTCATTCCTCCATTTTTTTTTATTTGAAGCTTTTCTAAATTTGACGACTACCGCATCTTCAACCTTCATCGTAATTTTAAACACTCGGAAATCTCGTTCTAAAAACTCTATCACTGATATTGTTTCTTTTTCCGCTATTATAACATTTCTCAAAGATTGATAAAAGAAACTAAATTGATGTTTACAACAATTTCAATAAGTGGATCTTCTTCATCAAAGGATTCAAAATTCGTGTGCGTATCTCTCCACATTGTTGAGCATTGGGTCTGATTCATTCATACAACGCTTATTCGAGTTTTCATTTGACATTTTTTATGAACTTTGAGAAAATTAAAAATTCAAATTACGGAACTAAATAAGAAATTAGAGCAGATTACGAACCATTAATTCAAGATTTGAAATAGAAATGAACATTAACAATTAAATCCTACTTAATTTTGAGAGGAAATTGTGATTTTTTTACAAAAGGAACAAGGATTAATGGTGTGGAAGAAGAAACAATGGGTTTTTTAAAGGTGGGAAAATGACCAGTGGAGAAGAAAAAAATTTTCGTCAAATTTTTGCTTCTGACGCGCCTAGAGGCGGTGACAACACCTCCCATGACAGGTCAGCACTTAGGTATGTAGAAAATAGAACAATATAAAGTTTAGATGGGTAATGGGACACTCGTAAAGTTAGAATATGTAGTTGAGATTTCGCGTATAGATTGGAGAAATTTCAAATCATTTTCTCTTAAATTTATAATGTTTTTCTCATTGTTTTCAAAAGTAATATAAATTTAAAAATTGAATTTTCACTTGAGGTTTATAAATTTGAGTTTAATTTATTTTTATTATTTAACATAATTTTTAATATTATAAAATGGTGATATATATATATATATATACGAATATTTTTATAAATTTTAAAACTTATAAGTGAATTATATATTTTTTTAAAAAAGTCAAATACCTTTAAAAATATTTTTAGTCAAACACCCAAAAATATTTGGGAAGTATGTGCTAGCATAATGTATTTTCGTTTGGCATGTGCATTAGAAATTTTCAGATATTTCGTGTGTGGGAACTGCAAAAGAGAGTTGAGAACAAGGAGATGATTCAGTTAGGGTTTAGCAAATGGATTCTACATCAAATCCAGACACCCATGAATCATGTATGCAATATCTACTGTTTCCTCAAATGAATTGGCATCTTCCCAATCCCAGAATAATCAATTGTTTTTTCTGTTTCAATCTGCAGGCAGAAAAGTGGCTATCAAGATCCGGATGATGGGCGCCAACGTTTCTTACTGGAACTTGAAATTCGTTCATGCCTCATTAACCCAACTTATATTCCACTGTATCTATCTATTCCCTTCTGCTATTTAAACATGATAATTTCTGGGTATTTCTCAAAAGGACCGATTATTGTTAGTTTTATGTTATATATGTTGTTGGATGGTTCATTCTTCTTTATTATGTTTCAAGTGTGTGATGTGTTTCAATAGGACACAAGTCAAATTTGGGTGCAAAATCTTCAATTTTCCTATTCCTTTGTGATTTATTTTTTGTGCTTGACTTTGTATTGATGCTGATTTGGCTTAGAATAGATATTTTGAAGATTTAGCTTTTATTGGGTACTTGAAATACCTTCAATACTGGCAATGAGCTGAGTACATAAAGTTTATTACGTAACTTTTTTGATGTAGCTGAATTTTATGCTTTATTTGGTTGATGGTCCTTGTTCCTTCTCTGTTTACTGTTGACTATGGGTATCATTAACTAACCGTGTTGGTCTTCCCTTTGTGGATGTCAACGCAGGTATCCACACTGCCTGTTCTTTCTTGAGCTTCTCCAAAATCCATCATATCTTAATGCAATGGCGCATCCCGCCAACAAGGTAAAAAGTTATATCATGTGTTGTCCTGGTTTCCTTCTCCACTTATACCAATCCCTTTAGTGAGTTAAGAGTTAAGACTGTCAGACACAATAAGAAAGTTCGTCTCACTTTCTGTAGACACAGTTTTTGTGGACAAAAAATGCAGCCAAAGTACTTTATAATACATGTTACTTCATTGTCTTAGGCTCTTAGCCATTAGCCTTATTCACTTTCTTAACTTTCTCATACTTTCTAGATATAAAACTTATAACTATTTAATCGTGTCGTCCAGGTTAATCCTCGCTCCATGGAATTCTCATCTCATTTCACTTTTTATTGTCTATTGCACTATGTTTGCCTACCTAAAGTTCTGGTGCATAAATCTGTGATAAGATCTGATTTAGATGTTCCTAACAATTATTAGGAAGTAGCACATAGGCAGTAATTTTGCTTCTGGAAGAACTACATATATAACCCGTTGAAGCATATTTATCCATGGTCGCTTCCTGAGAACTGCAATTGCACCACCAAGTTCTGCTCCACCTGCATCACTACCATCTGGTATAGACCCTGCAGCCCCTCCACCTCCTGCTCCTACACATGTTTCAGCTGCAGCTCTTTCCCGATGAAGTATGTCATCCCTCCTGGATTGCTAAAACTGACTTAAGGATTGCTTCTGTTGATCGAAGAAAGAGAAATGATTTCCTCTCTTCTTTTACTTTTCTCTTACTGTGAAAACGTTGTCAAAGCTTGTTTCTACATGCTCCCTCTTGTTATGTTCTCATATTTCAGGGTTAGATATATTAACTTGATCTTTGTAATATAGTTAATGACTTGGTTAATTTGGTTTTAGCAGGAAAGACGGATGATTTTCTTGTACTCGTAACACAGACATCCAAACAATTAATTCATGAATTAAGGTAATACATTTTGCACCCCTTGATGTCATTATTAGAATTAGTGTTGCAGTTCCCTCACTGGTAAATGCATTTATGAAATCATATTAAGAGTGATATTTTTATATAGAATTTTAGAGTCTTGACCAAGTCTCAAGCATGATCAATGACCTGTAATTTCTTTCTCGTATCAAAAAACATGGCTCTAAAGTTTTGTGAGAGTTCATCCACACATTTTTGTTGGGTTCTCTAGGATCAAATTTATAGTAAAATATAAATGTGTATTTTTTCCTGTAACCAAGTAACCAAAACAAAAAGGAAGCAGCCTACTTTTCACCTCTTCTAGGGTTATCAATGGAGTGAAGAAGTTATTCCAATCACCATATTAACTTGTGAACTTTAAATTTTGATGATAAATGAAGGATTAGCTTCTCCAATATGGTCCAAGTTTTGGAGCCTTTGCTATCATCTATGATAAATGGGAAGAGTATTTTTCACCATGACCAAACACATAGTGTCATGATGTTGCTCAGATCTTACATATCATTTTTTGAATCTATCAATGGTACATGGCCTAAGTAGGAACCTAGTTGTTTTTATCCTACATAGAGTGTCGTTCTTGTTGTGGAAGCTGAATCTTTAGAGTGAGATGAAATCACAATTGCTATATTAAAAGGCAGCTAATAAATAGTTAATGAGACCATAATAAAAATGAACAAAAATTTATGAAGTTCGGTAAAATTTTGTTTTTTGCCTAGTACTTAAACACAACCAACCAAAATTTATTTCAGTCCATAAGAATAAAATACAAGTGAAATACTATAGGGGAGAAAGAAGACTCAAATGCCTTAGAAGATGAGAAGACAAGTGAGAAGTGTGTTGCATATGAACAACTAACTACATATTTATAGGAAATGAATTCTTCCTCTTAATGTCATCAATAACATCACCAGTGTTCAGGGAAGCGTGAAGCGGAAAAAGGCGACAAGGCACCACTTCAAGCTTTAAGAGATGAAGCGCTCACATACTCATTCTAGTCTGTGAAGCGTAGAAGGCTTGCATTTCACATACTCATTCTAGTCTGTGAAGCGTAGAAGGCTTGCATTTCTTTGCTTCATCGCTTTAAGCGATGCGCTCGCTTTCCTTAACACTGGACATCACTAGTAAGCAAATGTCATTGATAACAATTAGCTTTGATACCAATTGTTAGATACTAAAATGTATTTGTAGTAGAAATCGAAGACAAGAAAATGAAGAGTCCACGTCGGTAATACGTCATCATTGAAATCTGTCAAATGTGAAATTTACTGTTAAATCTTTTGTTGGATTTATTTTTCTTTTAGCTGGATTTGTTGAATGCAACAGAAAAACCAATTTGATTATGCATGTTATCCTGGAATTCTCCTTAGGCACCTATGAGAGAATCAATTATGGGCAGAAACTTTTTTGGTTCTGACAATGTGATCACCACAATTTAGAAGCTCAATATGTCTCTGGATTATTTTTATTCCCAACCCTCAAGGCGATAACCAGCTTTTGATTAGCTATTTAAGAGAGGCAAATCAATGACTCCATCCAGAAAAAGCTCTGTGCAAAGATGTGTCCAGTACAAAAATAAAATAAAATAATTACTTGAAACACTGAAAGAGCGAACAAAGGACCATGTATAACAACGGCTTTCTCTTAGCCCAAATGGCATGCGTCTGTATTAAGTATTTTCCTAATCAATATATAAGATGTACTAAGATTATTTTCTTTGGTTCCATCATTTTAGATCTCTAGAATTTCTTATGGAAACAAATGAAAAGATTGGCTTTCCTCTTAAATGTTTGATCTTCTTCCTAATTGAGAATCAATTCCATGTCGCTTCAGATTAGACTCTCTTTATATTGCAAGTTTAGAGTGTTTCTAGACATTCTTCTACATGATTTCCAGGAGTCTTGAGGGTTGTGTCTATGATTGAGTTTTTCAAATCTTTCTCGTCATGACTTTTGTTTTATTTGCTTCTTACTGCGAAACTCAGTTCTTTTCTTCTCAAAACTTGGGATTATCTAATAAGATACAGTTAGATGAATGCCAAAACTGTAATATCAGTTGTTTGGGGCTCATGATTCCTGACCAGGTAGATCTAGTTAGCACCGTCATAGCTATGGAATTTTTACAATAACCAGTTTCAGATTTTCTCCTGCATTTCAATTGAGGGACTACTTATTCTTGCATTTGTTCAAAAATTGTCATTCATTGATAATGATTTCATTTCTCCGGCATTGGTTCTGTTATGAGAAGCTTGGCTAATGTGTAATACATTAGTGTGAATCTTTTTACATAAATCCTTAGTTTTTCTTCCGGTACATTTTTAGTTTGATGACAAAGTTATTCACCTAGATAAATAAGTATTTATTGCAATTTTCTTGTGTGTCCTTAATATACTTTGAAGTGCTTTCATGCCAAACAAATTCCGATTTGTCTTCTTTCTATTGGTAAATGGATTTGACCACTTGTCTTCTTCGGAGAAATTTGATTTTTTCTAAAAGATTCCTCCGTTACAACTTCATTTCTGTCTCTATTTAAATTAGATTTTCTTGGTCAAGCTAAGTCTTTGTCTCTAGGTTTGCTTTCTTCATCTGTTCTTCCAATCACCATTAAGACGAGATATCTTGCAGGAAGATGACTGGAGAAGTTCGCTGCTTTGAACCTAGGCGATCTTTGTGGGCGATTCCACCACCCAAGAGTGAGCTTTCTTCTTCTTCTTTTTTCTTTCCCTTTTTGCACTCCGCTCTTTTAATCTCGGATATATCTAGAAAAGGAAATCTAATTTTAGGTGAAAATGGTTGTTTGTTTGTTCCTCTTTCTTTGATTATTGGTTTCTCTTCCTCCTTTTTTGTGTCTGCTAGCTATATTCATCCTGTAATTGGGATGATTGTCTAGATCCCATCCTCTATTGGAAATTCCTTTAGGTTCTAATTTCTTCTTGGACACACAGTAGAATGTCATTTCTCCGGTTTCTTTTTGCCTTTCTACTTTTTTGTGTTTGCTATATTCTTCCTGTAATCAACATGATTTTGTGTATTGTATGAAAATACTTTTAGGTGCTAATTTCTTGTTGGACACACTTAGCTTGTCATTTGACTTGTCAAACGAAAAAAACACATATTTGGCCCATGGATTTGGTTATAGTTGATTACTCATCTGTTTCTTCTAGATAAAATGTGATTCTAGTCGAGTGTAAATGGTAAATTGGGCTACACCGAGGGTTCTTGAGTATTTGATATATGTACAGGGAAAAACTGACCTTAGACCAAACTGTGGTCGACAATAAGTGACACATTTGGCCTGCATTAGCTATCCATTAAAATTAGGAAAATGGGGAAAAGGAGGACCCTTTATTATAATTAATGTTATTAAACTGTAGCTCGTTTCATGATTATTATATGAAAAACTCAGTGCTATTGGAAGTCAATGTTTTGTTGCTTTATGTGACAAGTACGGGTAGGCAATGGCTTATCCCTCCATGGGCGAAGCATTATTTCTTTTTATATAGAGAGGCACAGAGTGATCGCAGCTAGAAGCAGTTGAGTCTTTGAATCTGACTATAAAAAGAAAAAAAACAGAAAAATAAGGGAACTAGTATGCTGCTATGCTTTTAAGATATCTTAGGATTTGGACTTTTGTTTTTGAAGGGACTGTTTGTCTTTGAGTTTGTGAGGAATTCTTTTCCTTTGATAGCAAACCCCATCCTCCCAACAAAACAAAGTAAATCCAAACAATTTTATGTGATTTCTTGTCCTAAATGTTAGATTTAAAGCAAGTAGATAAGACATTGTCAAATTTGCTTATGGGGGGGTATTTGGTTGTTTATAATTGTGCTTATGTGCAGATCCAACTGCTTCTGCTACTCAGGCTGAAAAGGAGGAGGTGGATTCGCGATCCATATATGTTGGTAATGTGAGTTTTGTTACCTTTACCTCAACATGTAAATTTGTTTTTCCCTACGTGACATATTTTCACTAATTGCATCATCCTGCTCTTCATAAGACATATTGTGATAATCAATGACAGGAATTAATTTATCCTTCAACCTTATCTGATTATTTGCTTTCACATTTTAATCCAATGAAACTGCAGATTTCTTTATTGCTAAAAAATTGTTGCCTATAGGTTTTGCCCCCTTCTATTTTATATTATGTTTTGTTCTTTAACACTGTAGATGCAACTTTAACATGAAATCACCTAGAAAGCAATAATAGTGTTCGACTTTCTAGAAAAAGCTTATTTTGCGCATCAGTTGTCTAACTGCTGTTCTTTCATTTTTTTTTCATTATGGACAGAGAAAATTGGTCTGTTTCTCTTCTACTTGTTCTTTTACTTTTTGTTTTCTGTTTTACTTTCTCAGCTTTGCTCTTGTAGCCTTAGCTTGCAATTGGTTGTGTGCAGAAGAATGAATACTTGGGATAAGTTTGTCCAGAAATACAGGATAAGGCAGCACTTTAGATTGCTCGGTCTGGATGTTCCATTTACGGGATTAGTTGCTGCATTTTGCCATTAGGTTGAGTTGCTGTATTGATAGAGCTAACCTCACATTAAATTACGAACTAGCAAAAAAAAAACAACAATATATTGTTCCCTGTATTACCAAAGTTACACCATATTCTGTTAGTAAAAGACATGTAGGCGCCCCTCATTATTTGTCTTTGAATGTGGTTTGATATTTGTAACACTATCTGATATGAGGCCAGCTGCAGCCCCCCATCCCACAAAAAAAAATGCTGACCCAATTCTTGTGAAAATGTTTAGCATAACTGTCATTTGATTTTTTTTTATTTTTTTTTTGCATTTCAACTTCAGGTTGATTATGCTTGCTTGCCTGGGGAAGTGAAGTTACACTTTCAATCTTGTGGCACTGTTAACAGGGTAACTATCCTGACTGACAAGCTTGGCCAGCCGAAAGGCTTTGCGTATGTGGAGTTCTTTGAAAGGGAGGCTGTTCAAAATGCACTTCTGTTAAACGAATCAGAGCTTCACGGGCGGAAGTTGAAGGTCCATAACAATCATCTTAATGATTTATAGACTCTGTTTCACCTTCTAGACCTTCTACTAACCATGTTCTTTTTTCATGTATAGGTGTCTGCCAAGCGGACAAATGTTCCTGGTATGAAGCAATTTCGAGGAAGGCGATTTAATCCTTATGCTGGATTCCGCCCTCGACGTGCGTTTGTGCCTGGTGCTCCAGCCATTCCACCATTTGGGTAATTGACAATGATGCTATCCTCTGTAGAACTTTATTTTAGTGTGTATATATGTAATTTTTTTTATATATATATTGACAAAGACAAGGTTGTATGCCTTTTCCTTTTCTTTTGCAATACATTTTTTATAGATATTTTTAGCTTTTTCTCAAATACAAAACCACTGACCCTACTTGTCACATACTGTCAAAACTTCCTTGACTTCTTTTCATGATTTTTTAGCTCATCTAGCATCTAGGGGCAAGTTGTACTATGAACTGCTCATATTTTGATACACCTTTTAGCACCTCCATATCCAACCAAAACCAAAGAAACAGGAAAGAAATTGCCCCATGTAATATATAAAAAACCACTCTAGCATTCTGAACCTGAATAATACATAAATATCCATGGAACCAAATGTCCAAGTGATGTAACTCTAATCCTCAGCTCTCGAAAAAGAGAAGTAGGAGGACGACCCAAGGGGAGTCTATTTTCTAATGTGATGATGCTTCTATTTTCTACCATCTTGTGCTCGAGAGAATCCCTCCCCTTGGGTCTTCTTCCTACTTCTCTTTTTTGAGAGTTGAGGATTTAAGTTTCTATCTCTTGAACTTTTGGTTCCATGGATATTTATGTTTTAGTCAGTTTCAGAATGCTAGAGTAGTACTGTATTATTTATTATATGGGGCGATTTCTTTTTCCTTTTGTTTTTGTCTGGGTATGGAGGTGTGCTTAAAGGTGTATCGAGATAGAAACAGTTTGTAGTACAATTTGCCACCCTAGATGCTGGATGAGCTACAAAATCATGAAAAAAAATGTCAAGGAATTTTCGACAGTATGTGACGAGTAGGGTCGGTGGTTTTGAATTTGGGGGAAAAGCTAAAAATGTGTAGCAAAAGAAAAGGAAAAAACTTACAACTTTGTCTCAGTCAATCTTGATCTATCTTTGAAGTACACTGTTAGGAATGCGTTGGAAGTCATTAATTAATTTATTTATTTAGTAGCTTTATTTATTATTCTAGAATAGGGTTTATATTTCTTTGTTTTATAAGGATTAGGTTAAGTTATAGTTATTAGTTTGGAATAAGAATTAGGTTACCTACTTTCATAAGAATTAGATTTCCTATTGATATAATAAGACTCCTATTTAAAGGGGCTTTTGATGAATAAATCAGTAAGTCATATTCAACAAAAATCAAGAGATCAGAGTTCTCTCTTCTAAGGTTTCAGTTCCCTTTAACGAGCTTGCCCTGTGAATTGATTCTTCCCTAAAGATTCATGACATACACCCTCCCCTTCTTTACCCCAACCCAACAAGAAGAGGCATCAAATTGTTTACTTGTCCAAAACGAAGTGGATCTTTGCTTGACCATTCTTTTGGGGCTAGACATCTTTGTCTGATCTCTAGGATCAGGATCAAAGAGGTGCTTGGGGCATATAGCTCAGAGCAGTTTCTTTCCTGACAATTAATATGATCCTGGCCTTCGTTACTTCAATAAACATTGGGCTAAAGCTCAGCTTATCTCCTTACTCTGCGAATTTCATTTAGGTACCAGTATCCTGTCAGTTTCAACTTCATAGATTTATCTATCACTCAATTTCTGAAGGAAGTCAAGTTGAAATTAATTGGTTGCCAACTTGGATACAGCCTACTCTGATGCCTTATGGGATCTGCACTTGCCACATATTCTACTTCAATACATGTTTGTTTGGCCTACACTGTTGCCCCTACATGAGCAGTAGTTCAGTGCTTCCTGCCTCCCAAATAAAATGGAATCTTGTGTTGTCTTTGGTTGGCTAGGTTTCTAGGCTTACACTTCCTTTAAACGAAGTAGGATTTTGGGTTTCTCGTAAAGCCAGAGCATGTGTCATGGTAATTGTGTTGATCTGAAATGGTAACTATTGTGTTTAATGTTCTTTCGAAGGGGTTACTTCTTTCTGTTGGTATTTTGACTAAATATTTCCTAAGCTTCTGGATTAGCAGCTCAGCTACTCAAACTAGTCTATTTTCAAGTTTATCAGTGTGCTACGGAAGATGAGCCTAGAGTCTCGTCTTATGATGGAAGGGTCTAGTCAGCAGTTCACTGAAATAAACTAGATGACTTATGTCTAATCCATTTTACACAATCACAGTTACCTATACCTATCTAAAATGCATCACTTGACTTTTTTTTTAAGACGTTGCATCACAACACAAGCAATGCATTCCGCGGCCGACTTTTTGTACTAGTCGTATGTGCCAAAATCAGCTGTTTTGTTTTTGCAACACTAATGCAAATGTTGGCAACAATGCTCCCTGTACTACTACCAGTTAAGTAATACAAAGTAAACCTTCAGAACTCCAAAAATAGGTGTTGTATCACTTAACTGTTAAATGAGGATAATTTAAAACTTACTTGTTGGGTATTTTGTTGCAGTAACACATGTCAACTTATATTGGTCCAACATAAGTTTTTTATAAGATTTGTTGAGTTGGATTTATTTCCTATTATCCTAACGAGTTCCCGATAGGCTGGTACTAATCGTTTTAATATCAAAGTGAACTTAAATTGGTGGGAATGCTTTTTATGCCCTTCAACAGAGAGCTGAACTTCCCTAGATTTAATGGAAGAATAAATTTTCAGATATTTGTTCATCTGGATTACAGTGTTCCTTCCTAAGTTGTCCTCCTTGACTCTTCACTTTTATAAGCTATAACTTAACAGTTGTGCAAATTTTACTCTCTTGTTTGATGTTCACTTTCGTTGTCATGTTTTGTCTTGACATAATTCAAGCTGATGCCTGCTTGATGATTACATCAAACTTTAGTTAACAAGTATTGTGTTGTCATCTTGTTTGCAGAAGGGTTCCAAGGTTCAGACGGTCCATCCGCTACAGGCCATACTAGTGAATTTTAAGCTGGATTGCAGCCTTCCCTAGAGAAGCATGGAGCTCGCTTTGTGAAAAGGGCATCTCCTTGTTTTACTCTCTTTGGTTGAGGGCAAAGGATGTTCTAATTCAAATAAGTCATTAGCTGACATAAATTTCAACTCTGTGGATGATGTTTTAGGTTCTGGGGATTGAGAATTTTTTTCTTTGCTAGCTTGCTCAGATGCTTGCATTTTGGGCAGCAAATGGAAAAGACAAATAAAATAGACAGTTTGTTGGAGATGGTCTGAATTATGTATGGTTGTGGTTTGGTCACTCTTAAGCTCCCCTCTCCTAAACCTCCTTATCCCCAACTTCAAATCCTAATAGCTACATGCAATAAGACCAATGGTGTTTAATTTTCTTAAAGAACTATTTATTACTCCATGTTAGGGTAGATACAAAATGCTTTGGTATAGACAGAGATGAAGATTTTGTAGTGTATGGTAAAGCGTCTTGTTAATAGGAAAAAGCATGGACATACCAATTGAAGTAGTCCAAATTGGTAATTGTATAAAGGGTAAACAAATCTAAAATTTGGTTGGAAACATTGGTCATCGAAATATGATTTCGTAGTTGTAGGTCCAAAACCCCCAATTTCCATGCTCATTTTAGGCATGGTATTATGCACCTCTCTTTCATGACACATATATTCAGTTGTGGCCCGTAGACATGTTTCTTTGAGAAATAACCGAAACAGAGTCAACTTGAATTCAAGCTTATAAATATCAAAAGTGATATAAGATTTTTATTCCAAACCAAAATCATGAAGGTTGCATCCAAAATCGCCCTTTTTTTTTAACCCCTTGGACTAAAATCACAATTTTCACATTTATATAACTACGAATTTAAGCTTAAAAATTCATGCATACTAATAAAAAACTGGTCAAAACTTAGATATAAAGCGCGCAAGCGAGACTCAAAAACGTGTTGAGGGCTTCGCGTCGCTTTATGTGCACTTTAGTGTCTTCACCAATGTTCTAAGGCAAACGTCACCTTACCAATGAGCCTCTTATGAGACAGTGAAGTTAAATCACTGATATTTCACTTTGTCATAATTATTTTCAATTTCTTTGATCATATATTTGACATATTCATGTTTATAGTTATTAGTTTTGGACTAAACATGCATACTTATACTCTTTTCCTCCCTTTGCGTCTTTTTTCATCAAAGCTTACATTTTATTTGCGCTTAAATTCCCCATGGATCGTAAGAGCTTTTTTGCGCTTTTCATCTTTAGTAACACTGGTATAATCACATATGAGAATTATGACTTCACTTAAAAAAAAGATTTCTAACCATTTCAATCTGATCGACTGTATAATCTAGGTGAGTAAATGAATCTAATGACACACTCATATTGAGCAAATAAAAATTAGGATCAAAATCAAATACAAGATGTCATTTTAACACTGAAATTTTATTTCAATATGAATTTAATCCATTTTTACATTACATCTTAAAAATGCAATGAATTTCAGACTTTCCTTTTGTATATATAGCGCAGCAATACAATCAACGGCTAACTTTGAAAAGTAGAATTAGTTAGGGTTTAGCGCATGGCTTCTACATCGAATCCAGAAACCCATGAATCACCGTAAGCAGAATCAATTCATCTCAAATCAATTTGCATCTTCGCAAATTCACATTAATCAACTGTTTTTTCTGTTCCAATTTGCAGGCAGAAAAGCGTCTATAAAGATCCCGATGATGGGCGCCAACGTTTCTTACTCGAACTCGAATTTGTTCAATGCCTTGCTAACCCAACTTACATTCACTGTATCTATCTATCTATTCCCTTCTCTTATTTAAACATGATGTTTTCTGGGTATTTACCAATTATTGTTAGTTTTATGTTATATATGTTGTTGGTGTGAAAATGAATATTGGGTTGCAAAAGCTTCAATTTTTCTATCCCTTTTTCATTTTTTGTTTTGTTTTGTGGACTTTGTATTGATTCTGATGCAGATTTGGCTCAGAACAGATATTTTGAAGATGAAGCTTTTATTGGGTACTTGAAGTACCTTCAGTACTGGCAACGACCTGAGTACATAAAGTTTATAATGTAAGTTAGTTTATAGTATTAATATGTGATAATAGTTATGTATGTTCTTTCTACTGCAACTTTTTAGATGCAGTGGATGATGGTCCTTGTTCCTTTTCTGTTTCCTGTGGACTATGGATATCGTTAACTAATCGTATTGGTTTTCCTTTCTTGATGTTAATGCAGGTATCCACACTGCCTATTCTTTCTCGAGCTTCTCCAAAATCCAACATTTCGTAATGCAATGGCTCATCCTGCTAACAAGGTAAAAAGTTATGTCATGTGTTGTCCTGGTTTCCTTCTCCACTTTTGCTATACTCTTTAGTTAGTTAAGACTGTCAGCCACTATAAAGAAGGTTCACCCCACTTTCTGTAAACACAGTTTCTATGGACTAAAAATGCTGCCAAAACACTTTATAATACATGGTACTTCATTGTCTTAGCCATTAGCCTTATTTCCATTTCTGAACTTTCCCGTAGTTTCTAGGCATAAAACTTATAATTATTTAATCGTGTTGTCGAGGTTAATTCTCGCCCCGAGGACATCTCATCTCATTTCACTGTTTATTATTTATTGCACTTTGTTTGCCAACCTAAAGTTCTGGCACATAAATCTGTGATAGGATCTGATCTACATGTTTGTAACAACTATTAGGAAGTAGCACATAGGCAGCAATTTTACTTCTGGAAGAACTACAGAAATAACCGGTTGAAACATATTTTGCCGCGGCCGCTTCCTGAGCCTGCAACTGCACCAAGTTCTGCTCCACCTGCATCACTACCATCAAGTGTAGCCCCTCCAACTGCTCCACCTCCTGCTCCTACACCTGTTACAGCTGCAGCTCTTTCCCCGATGCAGTATGCCATCCCTCCTGGATCTGGTCTTGCTAAAACGGACCCAAGGAATGCTTCTGTTGATCGAAGAAAGAGAAAGTATTTCCTCTCCTCTTTTACTTTTCTCTTACTGTGAAAACTTTGTCAATGCTTGTTGTTGCATGCTCCCTCTTGTTATGATTTTATATTTTAGGGTTAGATTTGTGACGTAATGTTTCTGAAATGGTTATTGACTTGGATAATTTTGTTTTAGCAGGAAAGACGGATAATTTTATTTTACTCATAGCACAGACCTCCTATCAACTAATTTATGAATTAAGGTAATACATTTTGCACCCCATGATTTCATTTTTCGAATAGGTGTTGCAGTTCCTCATTGGCAAACACATTAATGAAATCCTATTAAGAGTGTGATTTGTTGTTTATTGAATTTTAGAGTCCTTCCCAAGTCTCAAGCATGATCAATGACCTGTACTTTCTTTCTCATGTCAGAAAACATAGTGCTAAAGTTTTGCGAGAGATCAACTACACATTTGTTGGGTTCACTAGGATCAAATTTCTTTAAGAAATAAATGTAGAACTAATTTTATTCCCAAACCAAGTAACCAAAACAGAAAGGAAGCAGCCTGCCTTTGAACTCTTTTGGGATGCCCTCGTTTGTGGTTTCAATTGCTTAATTTTTTAGGCTTAGCTCAGACATCTGGTGATAGGTGACTGGAAGATTGCCAATGCACACTTATAGCAGTAATGGGTTATCAATGGAGTGAAGAATTCGAATCACCATATTGACATGTGAACTTCAGATTTTGATGATAAATGAAGGAGCAACTTCTCTAGTGTGGTCTAAGTATATGAACCTTTGCCTATAATCTATGGTAAATGGGAGGAGTATTTATGGTCTTTGATGCACTTCACTTGGGCAAGGTTACGGTCCCTCTCCTCGGCTAGCCTGTACGAATTCCTATAATCACCTTTGCCTTTGTAGTTATTCTTTCCCCTTCGACTGTTCCAATTCCGTGTCCTCAAAGTTGCAGGTACTGACTCTCAAGGGCCTACTGTCTTTCCAGAAAACTAACAAAAGAGGAACTTTATCCATTTGGCTTGAATTGGGTGGTGTGACACTTAAGAATCGGTACAACCTAGATCTATAGACCTGAAATTAAGTGCAGCACACAAAATTATATTAGCTGTATCACTTTCATTAACGGAATTCCAAGGATTTCATGTTATCACTCATCTCTTTTCTCGTTTTGGTCAAGTGAAGTGCTTCCCCATATATATTTATGAGTTTCAGTTTGAAACTATGCCGTGTGTCCTTTTCTCGACAAGATGTACTCTTTCCTATTTACTTAACACATAGTTCTCCAATGTAAAATCAAGTATTGTGCTTATACTTTATTCTGGTTGGTCAAATTGACCTAATTGCGACTTTGTGACGACTCATTAAACTTATATATGCTTAAGCGGAAAATTGGGTAATACTCCTATTGAGCATATGATGTGTTTCTTCCATTATCTTGATAATGTCAGTTCTTTAAATTTAAGAATGGCTTTTGGGTTCTATAGGAGCATTACACTGAACATATTACTTTGTGTTAAAATATTCTGATTATGCGTTGGTTCTTTAATCATCCTATAAAAGCTATGTTGCATCCTATTTGTGGAATCTAATTTCACAACCACACTTGTAGGTGATCATCCCTGGAATTAGACTACATCCTATGTTTAGAAAAGAAGTCAACCCTGTTTAATTGCTGATTGCAGTTTCAATAATGGAGCTTGGCAGTTGTATACTGCAATCTGGTGCACCCCAAAACAAAACAAAATTAGAAATTTTAGTTCTTCCTGCAGGCAATCACTCATCAGCTTACTCTTGCTGTCACCTGTTGTGCTGCTGAAGCTGATAGTAGTTCATGTGGTAGTTTAAGGAGCTAAACCTTGGAATTGTAATACCATCGAAACACCCATTTCTCTTCTCTCATGCTGGAGAAATGCATGCCAGCCAGCAATAGCTTATTATTGAGTAGGCCCAGTGTGCTACTACTTTAGTCTAATGAAGTCCTTGAATATGGTTTCTCATCCCTTATATGGAACTTTGAGGTAATATTATGTTGATGGTTTCTGGTGCAGTACAATTGAATTACAAGTGTTCTCTTGACAATGTTAATCTGGACAGCAAATATGGGTTAACCTGTTTGCAACCCATAATAAAACGTGTTATATACGGATTGAACGCGTGTCGAAGACAATTTAGAAATTTCTTGGTTTATCTGGTAGATGTAAGCGATAATACTGCATTCTAGAGTATTTGACTCGGATATGAGATGGTTTCTCCCTTTTCACTAGGAAAATTATACTTCACAAAGCAAAGGCTGGGTTTTAACTTTTACATATATCCACTCCTTTGTTCTTGTGGATAGTATCTCTACTTGTTTAAGTTGTTTACATGGATATGTCACATGGTTGACTCAGTTTGTGGTTTGATGTGGTTTTTGGTTCGATTTTGTTCACCTGATGGATAAAAACAACTAGCATTGTGCAATGCAAACTAAATCTTTTAGATACAACTGATGGAACTTTTGCGGTGGGAAGAGTTTTTCTTGTTGGGATGAGGCACAAGTACCTCCTAAACTTATTTTAATTTTAATTGGCATATATGAGACTTGGGAGGAGGGTGAAATATGAAGATGAAAAAAAAAAGAACTTGAAAGATATGAAGGTAATTAGTTAACTAAGATACGTTCTCTATGTTAGCATTTTATTATAACAATTAAGTATAGTTTGCATCAAATAATAACATTTTATTATAACAGTCAAGTATATTTTTCATCAAATAATATTTTATTATGAAAGTCAAGTATATTTTGCATGCAATTCGCCTTCCGGACACATTGTGTATTTTCCCGTCCTTTTAACCTACATTCGAATTAGGTCCACAAGTAAAAAGGTGCAATGTAACTTTCAATAAATGGTAGATAGTGGAGTCAATTAGGTCTAGCTTTATAATATAGTGTATCTTCCCATGATGCCATCCACATACAATCCACTCTAAGCAATAGAGCTTCGAGTTTCTTGATTGTTACTTCATCTGTCTCAATTTATATGACATATTTTTTTTTATTTAATTTAAAAAGTATGTTATATTTTTATATTCTAAACTACATCTTCTACTTATAGTTTGATTTGTCAAGAAATTTAAAGAAGAAACAATGAGCTTTTAAGTACTAAAGATATGTTTCCATATGATTGTTTGATCATGTCTGATTGGATAAATATTTTTTCTAAGGTTAAAACTTTGTAGACTAAAGCTTGGTAACTAGCACCAGTGAAAATGATATTCAAGTCGTTTAAAACAAGTGATAATTGAAAACGGAATGTGAACGTGTAAATAACTTTTACATTAATTATTTGATCGTGTTTTTGGTATTATGAATTTGAATGTCAACGTCAAATGATATTTACTTTTTACATTGTATACAAATTCCGCCTTCATCTTAGAAAAAATGCAAAAAATAAAAGAAAACTTGAGAGATGGAATATAATCAAATTAAATATTTGGAGAAATAAATTATTTTCCATTTCAGCTTTTATTCTTTTCTTTATTTATCGGTCAAAGATTCTATTTAATTTAAAATTTTAAATGAAAGGCTTTAGTCTCTACTATATGATAGGGAATATTCATCAATATTGGTTTCTGAATATTTTTCAAAAACGTGTTTTTTGTTTGGCTTTAATTTTTAATTATATCCTATAAATATAGTTGTGTATAAGTAGATACTTAAATTTGTATAAAAATTGAACAAATAAAAACATACGTCCCACGTAGAATCCTACCTTGTATCCTTCCACATAAGACACGTTTGTTTACTTGTGTACACCTAAAATTAAAAAAAAATCGCTAGATACCAGTTGAAGTTAAGTCAAAATTAATGACCATATGAGTCTAAACTTATATCAACCACACAAGTACACTTGTATGAATCAGATGTTCAATAGGTCAAGAACTTAGTTTAATGTACCAATTAAGTGAACCATTTAATTTAGCCATTATTGCGTCTCCATGCATATTCCACAAACCCCAGCAAATACAAAAGTGAATCTTCCCTGTATAGCTGACCAAGTAAGTCTTTGAATTATCAAGAAAATAACGTCTAACTAAACTAACTATGGTTCAAAATCAATGGATTTCTCAAAGTCCATAGATATATTTATTTTTATTTTTTCAAATTACCCTTCTTTTATATGAGATCAGCAACCAAAGTCGGACCCACAATGAGTCAAGTGCATTCATATTGAATTTACTTTGTAAAACAAAATTTTATTCGTTTTTTAAATTTTATAGATATATATTAAATTTTGATTTTATTTATATTTAACATAAATGTGATGCTTAGCCTAACGGGGAAAGGGTTATTTTGCACGTCTAAAAAGAAATTTGACATTTATGTTTGAAAAGTAATATTACTATTTTCATAATATTCCAATTTCCAACCAACAGGGCTTATTAGAATCTTGACAAACCAATGAAAATTTTGGATCGACATAGGTGGGGTCGAAATTTTCTATTTCAAATTTGAAGAACTAAAACACGTGAAAAGATCAATTACATACTAACTATCTATTACACCTTCACAAAAATAATACTTCCTCTTTTTAATTTATGTGACTTTTTTTCCCATTTTAATTCATTCTAGAAAGAACGACACATATTTATTTTATCCTTAGTAGAATGATTCATTTTGAACTATAAATTTTAAAAATCTTTCAATTTTTTTAAACTCAGTATCGAGTCAAATTATGTCACATAAAATGACACGCGAGGAGTATTAATTTTACATAACTAATGTACAATGTGTATAAATAGATTGCATTTAGAATAACACTTCATATTTTCTAACATGACAAGTTTGAAAATCAGCAAAAAGCATCACAAACATTTCAATAATCCTTTTCCATCCACCCCAAACTCACCATTCATATATGGAACTTTAATCTTGAATTCACATAAACTCCCTTCTCATCAGATCTACCCCATTGGCAAAGATTTTCAGTTAAATTGGTCATCAAAAAATGGAGGATTTTTATCAATTTCTCACAAATCTGAACCTACAAGGCCTATATGGTCCACCCTCCCTGGTGAGCCATTCATTTCTGCTGCCATTGCTGAAACTCAAGTGGAAGAAAGCAGAGGTTCATTCGTCGTAAAAGATAAACATGTACATTCTCTTTCAAGTAATCAGACAATTGACGATGTAAAGATCATAAATGAATCTGATAAAGATCAACTTTTTTCGTCGTATCCCCTGTTTCCTGTTTTAATGATCACAGGGAAGGTTTTCGGGGTAAGTAAACGAAAGAAGAAGGTCGGATTTTCGCGAAGAAAAGATTCGGAGAAGGAAAATTCAACTTGTGCAAGATATTGGATTCTGTTTGATCAGAAAGAATGTCATCAAGTTGGTTTCCAAGTGAGGATTGGGAAAACAGATTTACAACTTCCAAAAAGAGTTTCTCCAACAAGTTACAGGATTTTTTCTCTGAAATTTGGTCGAATTCGGAGACGTAGAGGTGGGTGGTTTGGAGGATTGAAAAAGTCTGTTACTGTTTCATCATTTGCTGAGGAGAAAATAGTGATGAAAAATAGTGAAGGAGTTGTTAATAATAGAATTTGTTTAACATATTCAAGTGAAAAAAATGAGAAAATATTTGGTTTTGGTGAGCAATTTTCTCATATGAATTTTAAAGGAAAGAGGGTCCCTATTTTTGTTCAAGAACAAGGGATTGGACGCGGCGATCAACCAATTACCTTTGCAGCCAATTTAGTTAGCTACAGGTACTCTCAAAGATGGAGTGTTTTACTTGCCAGTTGAGACGTCTGTTTATGTATTATACATTTCTTTTTATCGAACTACATGATATGAGTGTGCCAAGTTTTTAAAATCAAAAGACTGAAATAAGCTCTATTGTGTCATGTAGGGCAGGAGGTGATTGGAGTACAACTTATGCGCCTTCGCCATTCTACATGACATCGAAGATGAGGTCAATGTACTTGGAGGGTTATGATTATTCAGTGTTTGATCTAACGAAAGATGATAGAATTCAGATACAGGTGAGTTTCGACGATTTCTCTTTCTGATTTTGAATATTTTGAGTGTAACTCAAGCTTAAATATTGGTGGTGTAATTTCAGATAATGTTAACTAGGCCAACATTAACACAATACAACAGTCGTATCTGAATTATCTGCAGCACAAAACTTGTATTTTCTCTTAACACACAAGACGAGATCTTATCTCATTGTAATACCAAATGGAAAGAACATTAAGGCCTGAAGAAATAATCCAGCTACATGTTGTGTTAAAGCGGAAAATATGAACGAAAGGATGTACATTTTGTTCAAATGTGATACTCACTTGAGCTCTGATATCTTGTTGCAGTTACATGGGGACTCATTGGAAGGTCGGATACTACACGGAAACTCACCTACTGAACTCATTG